GACTGAAAGCAGAGTAAATATATCTGCCATCTGAAGCCGTATATTGACATTTCTACGCCTCGTTTTCTTTCTCTTAACGCTCCACAGACATATTTACAAACTCATCTAAGAAAGTTTTCAACACAACCTCGTTTTCTTTTGAGTAGCTGTCTTCAGTAGATATCACAAAACTGCTTGAAGAAAACAAGTCACACTCCAGCGATTGTGTAAGAGGATTTGTTGCGCAAACGATAGCGTTCACCAAGAGTAGTTGAGTTGCGGCCCTTGGGCTGAGTTCACCAAGCAGTCACGCAAGTACTTACGAACCTGTACATTTGTTTTTAATCTTTGGCGGCTTTGTTTATATTTATTAAACAGTTTAAAAGCTCCGAAGCACTAGGAGGCTGTTTATAACAATAATAACATTTGATTCCTAAGTTTCAATGCTCGAAAACTGTTTAATAAATGTAAACAAATCCGGTAAAAATTGAAAGAAGATGGACAGGTTGGTAAGTACTTTGGTAAATGCTTATTGAATCCTTGCCCCTGTGTATAGTTGAGGTGGAGGGCAGTAGAGGTGGCACCTACCCGTTGTGAGCTGAGGGACCGACTAAGGTGGGTGAACACAGGTTCACCTCCTATATATATCCCCTTGGAAAACTTGTTGAAAAAGAATGCGTCACTAAATACCACAGCGGAGATTTTTCTATTTTTTTCCCTTTGTGTATGGTAGGAGTTGTGTCTTTGTAGAGCGTGAGAGTGGCCATAATAGTGTAGGCTTCCGCGTAGGGCGCTCGGGCTCTGGGGCACAACCTGTCCTCTTAAAAAGAACGTCGCTTTTGGCCGTTTGCCCGTATGGCCGAATTTGGACGTAATTTGAAAATGAAAATAAACTTGGGATTTTTTTTTCAACAACAGTAAGTTAAGGGTCCTCTGATAGGTTAGGTGGGCAGGAAATTCTCATAAAATTTCAAAACGTTATGATAAAAGTTAATTTAAAGTGTCCTTTCATAACCTCAGCGCGTACGCCGAACGACTCAAATAGAAAACGGAACAGAACGTCACTTTTGTGAGTCGATTTCATTTCAAATTACGTCCAAATTTGGCCATAGCGCGCATACGAGCGAAAAGTGACGTTATTTTTAAGAGGACGGGTTGCGCTCCCAGCACTCCCCGTCTGTAACCCCGTCTTTGATGTGGTCTCATATACCTGTGGACCTGAACACTTGTACGTGTATTTTTAGATATTATAGATAGTTGATAATGGATATATTTTATGGCTATATTCTGAAATGTACCTTGCGTTGATTTCAACGCAAAGTACCAACATAAACTTACCAATATAAACAACGCCTTACCAATATACATTTGTGTAAATTAACTGAACATGTAATCAATATCATTTCCATTTACGGAGAAACAATTTCATCTTTATTTTCATTTGTATTAAATTCAGCATTGCATACTTTCCCAAGCCTTAAGAGATATTTGAAACACAAACTTCTTGTGAGAGGCTTCCTTGCCGTAATTTCAATTTTATAAATTAAATGAGTGCAAGGCAAAACAAAATAAATGTTGGTAACTGCTTTAAATGATATAAAAAAAAACTTTTACTATGAGAGAAAAAGACTTTTCGAAATTAGAATCGACCGAAAGAAGCCATCTGGTTCACAAAAAATATATATAACAGAAGATGAGTAAATATTGACACGCTCATTTGCATGGCACCCCGTTAGAAAGACACCACCTGTCGTTTCCTTCTTGGGCGGCTGTGGTAGTTACTTGTCGCAAGGCGTCGAGAAGAAGAGCCAAGAATGTGAGTTAAGGATTTAGAGCCTGGGGAAGGGGACATTGGAAACCCTTGTGGGGAGATACTTGTCTCTTAAGAGATTCAAAGGAGCTCTTGGTCCCATGATGTATTTTGTAGTACTACAGGCTGGGTCAGATTGATGGATTTTTATTTTTTTATTATTATTTTCTATCAGTATCTACCACAGACGTGGCCACACATTTACAATGCTAACCACATATATATACATTTTCTTTTGTTCTACTAGAGTTCTGTTAAAAATATAGTTCAGTGATAGGGCTAGAGTGCTGATAAACATATAGTTCAGTGATTTATTGAACAATCAACCACAGAAGGGGATTGTAGAGCTTTTAACATGCTAATCTAACCTACATGCATAAATACATAGCTTTACAACTTTACGTCTGCTCTACATAAACAGTGTTCGATGTGTCTTTTTACAGTGTCATTAATGTGCATTTACAAAAGTGAAATGCAATTCTGGCCAGCTTCAGTGATGGAGTGGGGAAGACTGCGCCGTGTGTGATCTGGTGAGGCCTCGGATCACTTTGTCACCTTTTGTCTTGAAACCAAAGATTTTACCATACTGTACTTCGGTATATTCGTGACAGAAATGGTTGTGCGCGTTTCGTGAAACCTAATACTCCTGTTCACCTAGCAGTAAATAGGTATCCAGGAGTTAGTTTGTTGTGGGGTTGTATCCTGGGGGGGGGGGGGAATGAGGGTCAGTAGTTCGACCTTGGCAGGGGACTTCGATATAAGCCTAACATGTATATATACACTGGCTGCCTGTCCCGCGACACTATGAATTAATATTATATTATTTGTATTTGACTACAAGTGGAAGTCGTCCTCGAGCTAATAACATGGGTTTTCTCCCACGACATTTAGCCCAACCACTTGGACTGGACGGTAGAGCGACGGTCTGGCTTCATGCAGGTCGGCGTTCAATCCCCGACCGTCCAAGTGGTTGGGCACCATTTCTTCCCCCCGTCCCATCCCAAATCCTTATCCTGATCCCTTCCAAATATTATATAGTCGTAATGGCTTGGCGCTTTCCCCTGATAATTCACTCACTTCACTCCCACGACATTTAGTGCCTCTGTCTTGCCCGTGTCTTAATGTTATCTCTCAACCTGCTGAGGAGGGAGGAAACTGCTTGAAGAGTATTTGTTAACCACTGACTTGTGTGGAGGTGGAAGGTGGACAAATTTATAAGCATTTGTAAATGGTTGTATAGTTATAAATGGGTTTGTTTACACAATTTATGTTCATTAGTTATTTAAGAAAAGTGTAATATAATGATAATAATACAGATCTTTATAATTATACGTTATATTTCACAAAACTGCAAATATCCATCATTAAAATTTCGAATTAAAAACTATTCATACATGACTGTATATAGATATAATATATATATTTTACAAAACATTAAGCATATTATTCATTTTCACAAGAAAAGCCCAAATAATACTATAACACTTAATCATTAGCTTTAGATACAGTACAATACAAACGACAAGTCCAATAATAAACTGATGATTGATCACTACACGAAGAGTACAGTTCAGATCACAATAATTGTTACAATCATATCGACATTCATAGATACATTGTAAAAGACACGAGGCAGCTTAATTTTTTTAGATATTAGTTCAGTGGGGGGGGGAGGGGACGGTGGGGGGGAGGGATGCTGGGAGGAGAGTAGACGGAGGGGATGGGAGTGGACAGAAGGGAAAGGGGAGTGGACGGAGGGGGGAGGGGAGAGGATGTTAATAGGGTGTCGGATGGAATTTCTCTTTCTTAGCTGCCCTCTATGGTCTGCGCTATAGATACACTCTTGCACGAGTACACACACACCTATAAGAAATAAAACGGCAAAAAACGAAACAAAACATGATGTGATACATGGTTATGATAGCAGGTGGGCTGTCCGCCTTGCTAACACGATATGTATGTACTTGGAAGGTAGTTTTAGGCGTGCTCTCTTTTACTAGGGGATGGCGAGTGTTTGTAAGGCTCCTCATATGTATCTCAACATATAAATACAAGGGCTGTAAAGGAATAGAATAGGTTAGATGCGGATCAGTGGTTGTAACTTGACCTTGCAAGTGCATCTAGGTGAGTACGCGAACACACACACACACACACACACACACACACACACACACGCACACACACACACACACATACCTTAACGTAATGGAAGTGTCCGTTGAATTCTGCCCTGCGCTGTGGAAGAGATGACCATTATATTGATTCGTGAAAGCAGCTCGTCAAACGATACACAAAGCTGGGAAATCATCAAACTCAGGGTTAAAAAATCGTTCTAAAAATAAGTCACTTTGGGTCGGATAGACTGAAGGCTGTAGAACTAGCTAGTAGTTCTTCACACCAGGTAGGATAGCGACCTGATAGCAGAAGTATTTATTTCGCTAAACAGTGATTAATAACCTGTATAACAGTTTATCTATCAGTATCCTGAGGTAGTCTATCAATAATCTGAGGAACAATGTCTCTTTACGAATATGTTAACCGTTGCAGTCTATCATTGGTGCTCTGTTTTAAAATACAACCATGACCATATTCATCAAACTTCTTGGTGAACTTCACAAGTGTTTGCTCCTCAAGCAACTCTTTTTCCAAAAAAATGAAAGTACTTACAACAACTATTTGCTGAACGTACAGAAATAGACTGTTGTACCCCAAAAAGTTGGGGAGTACAGAATACTCTAAATGGTAGGCTAATACAGTAACTAAGCAGCCTAACCTGTCCTACGCTTAAATAAGCAATGCTAGGCTTAGCATACGCCATTAACGCCAAATTCAGTACATATATATGTATGTGCTTACATATAATTGACCACAGGGGAGTGAGATCTAGCTCTTTAACCCGCCTCCCAGCCATTCATAACTCACGCGCTTAGAGAGTTACTTACATATGTACAGGAGAAGTTGGGAAGAATCCAACTACTAGAATATATGTAATGGCTAATTTGTATAATTATTAGCATAATTCCACTCACATGATATACTAGGAGGGACATATAAAACAATTGCATAATGTTCGTATAAAATATATTTTTACTGAGATACATATATTTGAATCCAGCTTGATTTGTAGTAAAAGCTGTATCGAAAAATATAGGAGGGATCTTAAGATTCAATTTGTATAAAGTACACGCTACTTATACTTATTAAAGAGAATATTTAATCCTAGTTTTTAGAAACATTTTCGGTGGACAATGCCAGGGCCGGACTCGTCGTACTCATCCTTTGACACCCACATGGACTGGAAGGTGGACAGAGAGGCCAGGATGGAGCCACCGATCCAGACGGAGTACTTACGCTCAGGAGGAGCAATGATCTTGATCTTGATGGTTGTTGGTGCTAAATTTGTAATCTCTTTTTGCATACGGTCAGCAATACCAGGGTACATGGTGGTACCACCAGACATGACAGTGTTGGCGAACAGATCTTTTCTGATGTCAATATCACACCTCATAATGCTATTGTAGACAGATTCGTGAATACCAACAGATTCCATACCCAGGAAGGAAGGCTGGAAGAGAGCTTCAGGAGCACGGAAACGTTCGTTGCCGATGGTGATGACTTGACCATCGGGAAGCTCGTAGGACTTGTCCAGGGAGGAGGAAGCAGCAGCAACATTCATTTCACTCTCGAAGTCGAGGGCAATGTAGCAAAGCTTCTCCTTGATGTCACGGACAATCTCACGCTCAGCGGTGGTGGTGAAGGAGTAGCCACGCTCAGTCATGATCTTCATGAGATACATAGTGAGATCACGACCAGCTAAGTCAAGACGAAGGATGGCGTGGGGGAGAGCATAACCCTCATAGACTGGAACGTTGTGAGTTACACCATCACCAGAGTCACACACCAGACCAGTGGTGCGACCAGAGGCGTACAGGGACAGCACGGCCTGGATAGCTACGTACATTGCGGGCATGGCGAATGTTTCAAACATGATCTGGGTCATTTTCTCACGGTTGGCCTTGGGGTTGAGGGGAGCTTCAGTCAAAAGTGTTGGGGACTCCTCAGGGGCAACACGCAGCTCGTTGTAGAAGGTGTGATGCCAAATCTTCTCCATGTCGTCCCAGTTGGTGATGATGCCGTGTTCGATGGGGTACTTGAGAGTCAGGATACCTCTCTTGCTCTGGGCCTCATCACCGACGTAGGCGTCCTTCTGACCCATACCGACCATCACACCCTGGTGACGAGGACGGCCGACGATGGAGGGAAAGACGGCGCGGGGAGCGTCGTCACCGGCGAAGCCGGCCTTGACCATGCCGGAGCCATTGTCGCAGACAAGAGCACTTTCTTCTTCGTCACACATAATTTGAGGAGATGACCTGAAAAAAGACAACACATATTAGGCTTCTCTCTAACTGAAAGCCTGAGTTAAAACGGGAGACGCTATGATAGTATTCCATCCCACCTTCAAGTTCAAGTACGTTTATTGAGACAAGAAAAAAAATACATCTCAAAGGGATAGAGTAGCTTAGGCTATTTCTACCCCCCCCCCCTGCCTAAACTGGCTACCTTCTTGGTTCCCAGAGAAGGTAAGAGAGTAGGCTGGGTGGCCGTGTTCTTGAACACATCATAAACTTACTGACAAATTTTTGGCTTATTGACTATAACAATAATTAAGGCCGCGATTTATATGTGTGCTTAAGCTGAATGTATTCTTTAGTCCCGGAAAAAGTTCCTGTATCACTGTTGTCAGTAATACACTGACCGGTGCCCTCTGGCCACCATCTCCACTACTGTACAGAATTGTATTTGTTTTCTATACACGCAGCTAATATATATTGTAAATAACTTTGAAATGTAAGCTTTAACAATATATTTAAGTTTGTTTTGATATATAATTGTCTACATAACTTTTGATTATAAAGAGTGTTGTTTATTTTGTTTGGTGTGGTGTGGTTGCCTTACTGAACCTCTGGAGGGTTATTAAGGCCACCACAAGTGCTTAATGTATACCTGCGAGTATACTTTAGTTCTGGACATAGTCCACAGCTGAAGTAAACTCTCGGTGTATATACACACAGAAGTGGGAGACACATTTCGGTGTATCCATCACATTAAAACCCGTTTGACAAGTAAATAATTGGATAGCTATGACCAGATATTGCAGCCCGCATCACGTAATACACAACCAGTTCTCTGTAGCTCATTTACTTTATATTCCGTTATATTGTAAATTATCGTCCTAGAGGGTTTCCTTATATTTTTCGCTGTTCTGAATAACTTTCGACATATGGCAAAATCTAGAATAGAAATATTAGTCACTAGTTTGAATGGCATTAGATAAGACCACAGGATTACATTGACGGGTCTTCTTTGTGTATGTTTCTTGTCCTCGATGTAAGTGGCACTACTTGTTCTGG